TTGTTCTGATACTTTTAGAGCGTTCCCCCATTCCCCATTTCAATTAACGTTCATTCTCTTTGACACTCTCCCTCTCCCAAATTTACAAGAGTCATCGTCGTTATAGTGCAGTGTTGTGTCATGTCGGGTTTCGGATGTGCTTTAGCTGTACGTTCTGTTGCAATGAGGCTCCACTACTGTTTAGACCTTTAATTTCGTTTTTCATTATACTCAATTAGAGTGCATTTCATAATTGTTTAATAAATAAAAATCGACCAGAAATCGAGCAAAGGTATGTCAAAGTAAATGGCTAGCAAGAATGGAGATTCGACGCAATCTAATAAAGAATTCAGGGTTTCTAAATATTGGTTTCCAAAATATACGTACATATAACGTACTTTATAAAAATGTGAATAAATGTTGTATGGATTTGTTGTATGTACTACAAAAGCTTTAAACCAGTAGCTTATATCTATGTATATCAAAATTTATATTCTAATATATCAGCCCAAATTAGACCACATTATGTTTTTATAACAGTACTTTCAGTTCAAGAAGTTTGACCTTCGTTGACCTTGACGGCTCCACATGCACATAAATGTTTAATATACATATTCTTATCTAATAAGTAAAAATAAAAACCTTTATAAGATTTAGTCTTTTAGAATATACTAATATTTATTAGGTTTTCAGCTATCAAATGACTGCTCACGTAAAAGTTGACAAAGAAGTTATATTTTTACAACGCTCAAATAATTTCATGCATATGCATACATATGTATGTAAAAACACATTTTTAAGCTAAATTTTGCATTATATTTGTCCAAATGAGTATATTGGAGCAAAAGCAACACGTATGTATGTACATACATATGTGAATGTGTGTTTATGTACATTGTATGTATGCACTTCGCGGGCACGGCAACGGGCTGCCGATTTCTTGCTACGCACAACCTAGCTACATTTCAAAGCAGTGATGGAAAATGGAAATTTCAGATTGTACCTAATATCATAAACTGAGATTCCCAAACGGACACAGAATATACCTAAAAAATGTTCATAAATCATTTGTTTGTAGTTTTTATCTACATTTTATTTAAAAACTTGTTTTTATACCCGAGCGCACTTGTGCACAAGGGTATATTAGAGATAGATATAGACAAATGTATACATAAATTATCAGGATGAAAAAAGAAATCGATTAAGCCATGTCTGTCTGTCCGCCCGTCTGTCCGTCTGTCCGTCCGTCCGTGTACACGATAACTCAAGAAAAAATTGAGATATCTCAACGAAATTTGGTATGTAGGGTTTCCCTTAATCCAAGGTAGGTTGGTATTGAAAATGAGCGAAATCGGACTGTAACCACGCCCACTTCCCATATAACGGTAATTTCCAGAAATACGAAAACTGCGATATTTTAGTAACTACTGAAGATAATTCACTCAAAATTGATATTTACAATAACTTTTAGACGAAAAATAAGAATATTATAAATTTTTGGAAAATGGGCGTGGCCACGCCCACTTATGGTTACATGTGTATATCTTGGTAACCGCTGCACCAATTTCTTCCAAACTTGGCACAGTTGTTGGCTTTGATACAGCATACTAAATGGCCGAAAATTTAAAAAATCGGACAATAACCACGCCCACATCCCATATAACGGTAATTTTCGGAAATACGAAAACTGCGATATTTTAGTAACTACTGGAGATTATTCACTCAAAATTAATATTTACAACAATTTTTAGACGACAACTAAGAGTGTTATAAATTTTTGGAAAATGGGCGGAGCCACGCCCACTTATGGTTACATGTGTATATCTTGGTAACCGCTGCACCAATTTCTTCCAAACTTGGCACAGTTGTTGGCCTTGGTACAGCATAAAAAATCGAAGAAACTTTTTAAAATCGGACAATAACCACGCCCACATCCCATATAACGGTAATTTAGAGAAATACAAAATCTTCGATAAATCAGTAAATATTGAAGCTAATTTATTCAAAATTGATGCTTGCAACGATTCTTTACCAAGAAATACGTTTATGGTAAAATTTTGGAAAATGGGCGTGGT